CATCCCCCCGCCCCCACTCCCCGTGCCAGCCCTTCCCCTCTCCTCCCCCACGCCCCACTCCTCTCCGGTCCCCGGCTAGAGGGGACCGATTCTCGGTGCGTCACACTCACAGGCTCTCCCCAGGAGCTGGCGTCCACCTCCGCCTCGGCCCCCCAGGCCGCAGCCTTGGCGCCCGGCGACCAGCCGCTTTCCTTCCGAAAGCCCCCGGTGTCCAGATCGGTCCCGTCGGTCACCTCCGTCCCGAACACCACCTCGGCCGGGCTGCAGTTCCGGGCGGGCAGCGGCCCCACTGCGGGGCCACCTGCCTGCGCCCCGCGCACGCCCTTGGAACCGTCAGCTGGAGCCCCGAAACCCGACGTGGCGCTTCTGCTCCGAGAAATCCAGCTGCTCAAAGGCCTCCTGAGCCGCGTGGTTCTGGGATTGAAGGAGCCACAGGCGCCCCCGGAGCTCAGGGGAACACCCGAGACCTCCACTCCCCACTTAGCTGTGAGCCCAGGGACCCCAGAGACCACTCTTGTGGAGAGCTGAGGGTGGCTGCGTCCCCCTGCCCAGGCCTATTCCTACCGGGAGCTCCCGCTTCCCACGACGCGACGCGTCCTGCGTCCTGCTGTTTTGCTGTGGTTTTTAAAGAAGCGCCGGTAACATGCGGTGGCTTCGATTTCGACCTCACTCCACCCTGTGCAACCACCGGCATCCTCTCTGCCCTCTTCCTCCTCACCCGGATTCGGTAATGACAAAGAACCCTGTTATTTCTTTGCAATTTACATTTGGAAGTAAATTCAGTCGGCCCTGGCTGTTCTTGGAAGCCTAGCCATACAAACTTTAGTGCAGGCATTTTGGGGTACTTCATTCATTAGGTTAAGTGAACTCGTTAGATTATTTTGGGGTCAACTAATTATTCATAATGACTTCGTCCTCTGTTAATATTTAAGACTTTCAGTCCTACTATTGACGAGTTTGTATCCGCAAGCCCTAGATTCTGTTTAGTTTTAGCGAGGGAAAAATATTTTCCTGGGCTCTCAGGGTCGGAGCTTTGTGGTAACCCCTGCCCCAATGGATGGAGGACCTCAAAAAGTATGTAGAAAAGTGGAATTAAAGTGCAAGTTTGTTGGTGCAAAACATTTTGAAGTCCATGCTTGGATTTTTTTTTTTAAAGTTTGCTGTAGGGCCTGTGTGTACACAGAAGGAGAGAGATAAAGAAGAGAAGTGAGAAATTACCTCCCATCAGGGAGGATGACCACACCGAAATCCCCATTCTCCTCTCCAGATTTTGGGCATGCATGCATATGTGCCTGGGATGTTTTGAAGCTGCCAGGTCCAGGACTTGAACCGCACAGTTCATGTTAGATCCAGCACCTTAACGTCTGTACCACACACCGGCCCTATACACAGTTTTTTTTTTTTTTTTTTTTTCCCCTCCCCTTATACCATTTTTTTTTTTTTTTTTTTTTTTTTTTAATAATATGTGTTTTCCATTAACAAAACAAACAAACAAAACCCCAGCTTTGTAGCTAGACAGACTGATGGGCTCTGACAGCAGCAGGCAGGCCCTGATAACCTTAGTGACGAATGCGACAAGTGGCACCATTGGCACTGAGAAATCTCTTGGAAGAAGTCGGAGAGGAAGCATCAGAATTGCCGAATTCTCATTGACAGCAGCTTTTCTCTTCCCTAGCAGTCACTCAGTACAAATACCCAGATACACATGTACCAGGATCCATATCCAATCCTCACGGTAACTTTACTGTCACCCAAAAGAAAGAAAAAGTGTGAAGTCATTTCAATTGCAATTTCTGGGGTGTGGTCCCTGAATGTTGCGTTTTCATGGGTTCCCCTCTACCTACTGGAGCCACCCGTTCTCTGTAGGGTTGCTGTGACGTGTCCTCGGAGGTCTCATTCTCATTGAGTCCAACCCCTTTTTCAATTAAGTTTCACTGGTAAAGCTTAGAACTACCATTTATTTATTTCAGGTTTTTGCCATAGTGTGCAAGCACTCGCTGGAGACAGAGAAACAAAAAAAAAAAAGGGAAAGTAAGAAATCACTTTCCACAATCTGCTCTCCTCTCTTCTCCTTTTGAGATGTTGGGCAGGCATACACATGTGATGTGTGTGATTTTCAAGCCTCTGGGTCTGGGACTCGAATGGCAGTTGGCCATGTGGGAGTCCAGTGCCTTAATGGCCCCGCCACCTGCTGGCCCCCCATGCCTTCCCATTCTTTACCTCTACTTGATAGGTATTTCTTCGTAATCGCATTTCCCGTTTCTGAGTGACACACCAGAACAGCATCAACAGTCTTCATACTCTTCTCAGTGTTATTCTGCACATGACTATGACGAAGTCACTGCAATACACAGGGAGGTGGGCATACATCATGTGGTAAATGCTCTATGGAATGTTACAGAAATCCAGAGAAGGGAGATGGATCTTGAAGGAAGAGCAAGAATCCGCCAAGTGGAGATGAGCGAAAGCCAAAGGGGAGGGCAAGGAGGTTGAGGATATGAGGAGACATGCCAGCTTCTAGTGGGTGTGTGGGGGGTGGGCTGTAAATAATTGACAATAGTTGGAGAATTGCTTGTGTCTATGTGTATGTGTGGGAGGGTGTTTTTTATCATTAAAAAAATAATTATTTTATTTGGTGTTATTACATATTTTTTTATTTTGACCAGTGAGAGAGAGAGGGAAAGGGAAAGTGAGAAAGCAAGCCACCAGGTTAGGGACTTGAGTCGTAGTTGGCCATGTGGGGGTCCAGCACCCTAACCATCACCCCATTTGCCAGCCCCAGGGAAGGTGTTTTTTCTTTTTTCTTTTTTTTTGGAGAGGTGGTTGCTATAGCATGTGTATGCTCGCCAGAAAGCGAGAGCGAGACAGGGGAACGAACAG